AGAGAGAGCATGAAAAAGTACCCGCACTTTAGCTCCTTCTTCTTTACTCTTTGCCTCTTCAACTGCTCCACTTTTTGCTCATCTTTTTTTATTATCATTATTTGTAAAATATACTCAATTTAATTCATCGTACATGAGGCCGAGCTTTGTCTTTGCAGCTTTGGTGCCGCTGTTGTTGTTGATGCTGCTGCTGCTGCTGCTTAGCAGTCGTCAGGGTGACGAAGAACAAGAAGAAGATAAAAGAAGCTAAATAAGAGAGTTGAAAAGGCAGGAAAAGGAGGCCCAGTTAGCGCTGAAGAACTACCAGCATCCTCCTAAAACATTGCATTGCTTTCTCAGGAAAAAGAAGCTGCGAGTATCTGCTGTTGCTGGTGCTCTGAAAGCCTGCATCGCCTGCTGAAATTTGATCTGCCATTAATGTTCTCTCGTTTTCTCCCGTTTTCTCGACAAGAAGAAGGGGGCATGGAGCAAACTACTGATGAAAACGAGAAGAAAGAAGGCCAAAATAGAGGGACCAGCATCCGAAACAGCAGCAGCAGCAGCAGCATTTCGCCAGTGCCATTTCCTCGCTCCAGCGTCAAAGTCATTTGCTTTGTCGACGACAGCAGCATCAGCAGCAGCAGCAGCAGCAGCAGCAGCATCCAAAGCCGAGACCAGCAGCTAAAGCCAAACGGAATAAGGGAACGAGAAAAGAAGACAGAGACAGCTTAATAAAGATATATATCAGTGCCAGGGACTGGGTGAGAGAGTGTGAGTGTGTGCAGTGGGGAAGTGGAAGTGGGCACAAACAGTGGACGGCACTCTCATTGTCAGCGCCGCCTGATCAGCGTGCAATGTGTGCAATGTGCCAAATGTCCCTTGNAGTGGGCACAAACAGTGGACGGCACTCTCATTGTCAGCGCCGCCTGATCAGCGTGCAATGTGTGCAATGTGCCAAATGTCCCTTGCCTGCCCTGCTTGCTTAATTTCCTCCCCGGCCTTTTCTCCCACCACCACTTCTTTGCTTCCTTTTAGTCCGTTTTCGTTCTGCTGCTTAGAGCTGCCGACAATCAGACCGGGTCCGACGGTTCAGGGAAACAGGGAAACAGATGAACTGAAGAAGAAGACGAAGAAAAGAAGTTGAAGCCGGAGCTGAAAAAACCAAATCGCCAAGAAGCTGCTGCTGCTGTTGCTGCTGCTGATTGTGAAGAAGTGGAAAAGTGGAAAGAAAGGAAAAGGAAAGTGTTAGACTCGTCGGGGATAGAGCGCGGCACAGAGTTATCACTGCTTCGTTGACTGAAAAACGGCAGCAGAAGGAGTAAGAGGATGAGATGAAAGGAAACCAAAAGAGGAATACTTACTGGGCTCGAAAAGCTTGCCATGAAGCCGATGAAGCAAAAGGGAATGAAAAGGGAAAAAAGGGGACACTAACCATCAGCACTAGCCGGCGACAACATTAACGAAACAGGAGGAGAATAAAAAAGAAGAAGCCAGCTCTAACTCTCGGCACAGCCCTAATTAAGCATTAGAAAAATGGAAAAATATTCTCCAACTAGCTGGATAATTCAATTAAAGCGCACTTAGTGGGAGACACTGTACTAGGCTGAGGGCGAGGGTGGTTGTTCACATTATGAGAGAGAGAGAGAGACGATTAGAGACGATTAGGAGTGCCCTGCTGCTTTTTGGGGAGAAGAAGAAATGAAGGAGGAGGGGATTTTTCTCTGATGATGACATTCTATTACATAGTGTGCGGCGGAACAGCATTAGCTTTTTGGCAAAAAAACCAGCTTTTGCTTGGTCCTTAGCGGCTGCTGCTGCTGCTGCTGCTGCTGCTGCTGCTCTAGAAAGTACTGATGATGAACGTGAGCAGTCCAAGCACGCTCTCTGTCACGCTAATGTCCATCGATCCACAGTATGTGTCTGTGTGTGTACCATCAAAAGTTCATTTTGAGTAGCCAACCGATGACATGGCAGCAACGGAAGCGCTAGCTGAAGCAGCAGCAGTCAGACCAGAGCCAAAATCGGTATAAACCCTCCTGAGCCTAAACAAACGGATAACATTTAAAAGTAACAAAAACCATCATTTATTTTGTAAAATACTACTTCCGTTCACAATTTCGAGCAGAAGTTGGAAATTCTTTCTTTTAGAATTTAAAAAAAAATTCTTCAAACAGTTCAACGTCGCCCTCTAGAAGAGCCAAGCGGAACTACCAGCTTTGATAGTATCGATGCTGCCGTACGATGCCTGCAACGATTGTATGAGCAGCAACTTTTGCCTACTGCACAGCTGCTGCTGCTGCTGCAATGAGGATTGCTGTTGGCTGCTGCTGATGCTGATGATCCAAAGCACTGGCGCTCATTTGCTCTTACGGCCGGTTATCGTCACCCTACCACCACCACCACCACCACCACTGTCACCACCGAAGCCACCACCAGCTCCGGCCAATCCTCAAGTTTTCCTCTGGCCTGGTTGGAAAGGGTGCCCAGCTGAAGAGTATCAAACTGCAGCCAGCAGCCCAACATCGTCACTGGTAATCTCTGCCACCAGCAGCAACAACCATCGTCTGCAACATCAACAGACACTGCACCACCACCACCACCAGCAGAACCAGCCGTCGCCGCTGCTGTGTACGACCAACTTGAAAGCGAGTTGTCAGCGACCGATGATGATGATGATGATGCTTGGAAGGCGGCGAAACTCGTCAAAAGCTTACTGAGAGGTGGTGAAAAAACAAGTTCTACAGTTCTATCCAACTTTTTTGGTTCCATATTTTTTGAGCAACCTTTTTTGATATTTCGCCTCACGAGCTTTTGATCACTCCACTGCTGCTGCTGCTGACCAGTAACTGCGGAAGCAAGACCATCAACAAATCAACAACATAAACAATAACAACGTCGTCAGCACCAGAAGTAGCTAATCACCACCATCATCGGCATCAACAGCAGCAGTGTCCTTCTCAACCAGTCGCTTTTCTATTTCTCTCCCTCTCTCTCAATCCTCTTTCATAGTCGTAATACAGGAATCGACTCATTAGCACTGGCTTGAGTAGAGTGGTGTGGATTGTGGAGTAGAACAATAGCAGCGGCAGCCGTAGCAACAGTCGGCACTTGTCACCAGCGGCAGCGGTAGCATCTTCTTCTTCTCACTCGCGCCATTCAGCTCATCAACTCTCGCCTCACCACCAAACTGTGATTCACTTCTACTTTAAGCACACACTACACTACACTGTACTCCTCGCTACCAACATCACCGCCACAACCGTCTACTCCTCACTTCATTCGCATTCTCACTTGAGGCAGTCGTTGGCTTCTTCTTCTTCTTTGGCACCACGAGAAGTGGCTTAGTGGCTGTACTATCCGTCTGTTAAAATCTCGCTCTCTCTCTCCTCCGTATCGCTGGAATCGCTGCTTTTTATTTCTCTCTCGTTTCATCACCACCACCACCACAGCCACCATCTGCAGATGCCAGTTGACAATTTGCCTCCTCGTCGACAGCCCGCCAAACAAATGTATAAGCAGCTGCAAATGGGCCTGGGAGCGTTTCTTCTCTTCATGTCCAAAATATGGTCCTGCATGTGCTACGTGCTGAAGAAGCAAGTCAGAGCGGTAGGTGCCAGTCTCGCCGACCTTGTCCTTCTCCCTCACCCTTTGCTTACTCACCAAGCTCACTGACATTTTCCCTTTTCTCTCCTCCTAGATAAGACAACATCAGACGGTTAAGTACGACATTCTGCCACTGTCGCCCATATCAGCGCACCGCCTAAGTACGTACTTTGTCGTGTTTGCATTTTGTTTGCCGGTTGCCACTACCACCTAGCTCTAACCTAACCACCTGCATCTTTTTACCTTCTTCTGCTCAGGCCTAGTGAAGCGGAAAACACTGGTGCTCGACCTGGATGAGACCTTGATACACTCGCAGCACGACGGCATCCTCCGGCAGACGGTGAAGCCGGGCACGCCGCCCGACTTTGTGCTCAGGGTCACCATTGATAGACATCCAGTGCGCTTCTACGTCCACAAGAGACCTCATGTCGACTACTTTCTCAGTGTGGTAAGTGCCTGCCGCTGCTGCTGCTGCTGGCAGCCTTATAATAATGAATGCAAAACCTTTGGCAGCGGCTGACGACGACGACTGGCAGCCAGCTCAAGGTGCCAACTCTCTTTCGCTCTTGTGCTGGTGTACATCACCTGTGTACCCGTACCATGTGTGTGTCGCCAAAAGCAAGAGAGAAAGAGAAAAACGCGCGCCTACTACTGCGGTGCACTTTACAGAGTGCACTTCACAGCTTCTGGTCAATGGCGGCTCTAATGTTATCAACACCTCTTTCTTCCCCCTATCTGCAGGTGAGCACCTGGTACGACCTGGTGGTCTTCACCGCCAGCATGGAGATCTACGGGCAGGCGGTGGCCGACAAGCTGGACGACAATCGGGACATCCTCAAGCGGCGCTACTTTCGGCAGCACTGCACCCTCGACTACGGCAGCTACACCAAGGACCTCTCGACGATCGTCGACGACCTCTCCAGCGTCTTCATACTGGACAACAGCCCCGGCGCCTACAGAGCATTCCCCGGTGAGAGGCGGTCATCATCATCAGTTGCTGTTTGCACTATTTGCGAGACACTTGCTAATTTGTATCTCTTTATCACCCCCTCCTCCTCCCGTGTAGATAATGCAATTCCAATCAAATCCTGGTTTTGTGATCCCAGCGATACGGCCCTGCTGAACCTGCTCCCGGTCCTGGACGCCCTTCGCTTCACCAGTGACGTCCGCTCGGTGCTCAGTAGAAACCTGCACTTGCACAAAATGTGGTAGGCGGGGGAGGACCAATGGTCTACACACTCACTCAGCGTCGTCGCACACACGCCCACACAGTGGTGGTGCTCAGCCCGGGCTGTGTTTGCCTGCCTCCTACTCCTCACACGCCCACTGTTGATCCATTTTGGGAGGTGATCTTTCTCTCGCTTCGTTTCTTCACCACTATCTCTCTNTCTCTCTCTCTCTCTCTCTCTCTCTCTCTCTCTCTCTCTCTCTCTCTCTCTCTCTGTCTTATCATTCTCAAACACACACCTTCGGCCACACACCTGGCCACTTTTTTTTGTACTACCTACCACCTGCAACACAGCAGATGTGCGTGAGCGTTTACGATTGGACGCCTTTAAAAAAATTGCAGCAGAAGCAGCAGCAGCAGCACAGTGACCAAGAATACCAGCAGGAGGCAGAGAGACCGAATCAGCAGTCTCCTCTCTCAGTTGACACCATCTTCGACTGCTCTCCGACGACTGATTGCTCCTTCTTTTGTTGTGGTTGTTGTTGTCTTTGTAAATACAATCATAGGCATTTTCCAATTTTATTACTACCACTACTATGACACACACCGACAACACTCGATTACCCCGAATTCCCTCTCTATCTTTGTACATTTAATTACACCACCACACATCACTTCATCATTTTCCTCATCACTTTTGTACAAAACCTCCTCCTCCTCCTCCACCACAACTACTACCGTTGACGACTACTGATGATCCTTCCTTCCTTCCTTACTTACTTCTTTCCTCCTTCTTCTTTTTCGGTTTTCTCAAAACACACTGGACGCCCTGACCCACCTCAAAACACATCAAAGCTGTTTGATGGCGGACAGTCCAAACATCTTCCTCCTCCTCCTCCTCGTTTTAGTTGTTTTCATTGATTTGTGATTTTGTTGTACCTTTTACTTACCATCCTTTCCTTCTTCTCCTTACCTTTCCCTTTCCCTTTTTGAAATCCACCAACCAGTTCGATAAAGAGCAAAGAAACACACGGCTGGCTTTTCAAACTCAATCAAAGAGAGGCAAAAGCAAAAAGTGTTGGGTTTTCCTATCACTTTTTGTTCTTGTTTATTAGTGAATAAATCTGCCTGCCTGATGATCATCTTCATCATCTACACTCTTCTCTGTAATGTTTGTAGTTTCTCACTCTCTTTCTTCTTTTTGTCTGCTGTCGCAAGCTTCGTTTTTGTCGCCTTCTCCAACATCTTCTTCCTCTACTTTTACTTCTTCTACTCATTGCCCATCTAAAATTAGCAGTCAACTAGGCGAATAACTGACATTTCAGCCCTGCACAGAAGCTCCTTTGCCATCTAAGCGAAGAGAAGGCCACAACAAGGCGATGTTGCCAAGTTGCTGTGTTGCAGAGTTGAAGAGAATGCTTCGTTGACGGAACTTCGGGTGCACTGCACCCCCGGTCTATTGTTTTGCCCGCCTGAGCTCATTTGACCACTAGTGATCATCAGCACCACTTTCCTGTGTTTTCACCCTTTGGATTCCCTCGTTGATTCCAAGTTTGTTTTGGCGGCACCAGTGCGCACTTTCTGCTTTGGAGCACTGCTACGCCCTACTAGGGTGCTCATTCTTTTTCTCCTTCATTCCTTCCTTCATTCACATTCAGTGGCACTTTTAGTTGACTGAAGCAGCAGCAGTCAACTAAAAGTGCCTAGTCAGCAGAAGAAGTCTGCTG